GAACATTTTTGGTAAAACAACACAAACTGAAAAGGAAAATCCTTCTCAGCTAATAGTTCTCTAATTATGCCTCCAAGGATGGATGAACCTAAGACAGCAAAAAATAAAAGCATTTATGAGATCAATGAAGGCAAGTGAGAAAAAGTTTCCGTGGAAAGGGGTTTCCCAGTATCAGTTAATGGCCTATTATTTCTCTTTGTCTCACGCTGAACCTTTACAGATGAAAAAGGATTAGTTTGTTGTTGCAGTGATGTTAACAATAATGGCTCATTACTTTTGCCCAATGAACACACAATAATGGCTCATTAATTTTGCCAAATACATTCATGTATTTATAATAAAGGGTCTTTAACTCTAGGCAAATGGCAACTAGGCATGTATGTAATACTTAACTCTACCAGCCGTACCATTGGCCGGGTGCACAGTCTACCTAGCTTCCATCCTAAAACATATTAAGACACACATTGCAACCTATTGTCTGACTACATTTTGCCCGTTTAAAGCTTCAATTTTCAGGCAGATACAAAAGAGGCGACCGCAAGAACCAAGAGGCAAAGCATAATTTCCAAAATTATGACAAAGAATTCATAACAATCAACAATGTTATGAATTAAAGTTCCCAAATCAAGTATAGAATACACTAAAGTTCTGTAAATTAAAGAAATTTTTTTTATAATCAATGAGAGGAGGAATTCGAACTTTACTTTTTAGACAATGAGATAATGCACCAACCAATGAACCAAATACTCGAATGCAATTTTAGTCACATGGTTTTGTTACAATTCAACTCTTGTTTGAAGATGTGTCACACCATCAACAGTTTTGGGAGGAATATGAGCTCTATCAACAAAAATATCTCAAAGATCTAAATCAAAAGATTGTATGAAGCTCTCAAACCTCTTTCTCCAAAATAGGTAGCTTTTCCCTTTGAATAAAAAAGGCCACATCATAGATTGTCCTTCATCAATGAAGCTCGAGGATGCCATTTCTATTACTTTAAGCATTGTGTTCAGGATTTCTCAAAGGTGGTTAAACCTGCAAAGACTTGAGAACCTATTCTGATACCAATTATTAGAATGATAAAGCAGGGAGTGAATTAGTTGTTAAATAAAAATTCCTCATTTTTCGTAAAGCTTGAAGATAAAGCTGAGATATGAAAGAATGAAACAACAAAATAGTGTATAAGTTAAATAAGTAAAGAACAGGAAAATAAAAAGTACTCAATAGGATTTTTACATGATTTTTATAGAGATTCGGCCTTTTAATACTTACGTCCTCTCTCTTTATAGCACAAGGAGTTTGAATCCATTATCTGCTTGCCTTTTCAATAAGGTTAGACATAACCTTTACAATATACTATTTGCAGGATCAGGCATAATCTCTACAACATGCATTTTGCATAATCAGGCATAACCTTTATCAAGACATTACCTTTTTTTAGGATCAAGCACAACCTTTATACATGATGAAGCTTTTTAAAAGATCAACCAAAACCCTTTTACCTTTTGCTTAGAGGTATAACTAACACAATAGTGGATTTTAGTGAATCACCAGCTCAAAACCTTTAAAAACATTGATAAAGAAGTTTAAGGTAAAAAAAGTAAGAGCTTTCACAAAGATATGGATGATGAAAGAAGGTTTAAGCTTAAAAAGATCAGCTGAAGAATAAAAATGTAATGTTCAGGTTCTTTGCTTGCTCAAAGGTGGGAACTTTCTACTCACAGTTTTTTCTCTTGTTTTTTTTTCCTCCTTTATTCTAAAAAATTATTCAAATTTTTTTAAATTCCTTTTCTCTTTTTTTCTTTAACGTTCTCAAGATGGATATTTATAACTTTTGTGATTTTCTACCTATTGGAGTAAAATTTGAATAATTTCTTATATGTTTCAAACAGCTAACAAAATTTGTTGCATCTATAGAATTGAGTTGTTGCTATTCACTTGTTGGTTCTTCGCAAAGTTTGTAGCTCTCTATCTTTGGAGAATCCATTCTTCTATTTTAAGGTGTCAATTCTTTTACAACTAGGTTTGAAGGTGATACCTTTTTAATCTTGGAGAATCGATTATTTTGCCTCAAGGTATTGATTCTTCACTATGATTTGCGACCAAAATTTGAATTTAAGGTTGATTTTTGTTGCTGCACTTTTGTCCAATTGTACTATGTGTTTCTTAGTCACCAAGTTTTTAAATTGTACTTTTGGTGTTTTAAGAACCAATATCTTCTCCATATAGAATCAATTATTTCTTATTTACTTTTTTCCTTTTTCATTTTATCTCTCTAAAATCGATTTTTTATATCTAAGGTGTCGATTCTTCACAAATTTTAACGTTTTTATCTTTCAAGAACTGACTTCTTTTTTTCTCAGAATTGATTCTTCACTGTTGATCTCTATTTAAGAATTGACTTATTCTTCTCTAGAATAAATTCTTTTTGTAATTAAAGAAATAGATTTTACTTTCTTTTCATTTAAGAATCAAGTCATTTTTTTTGAGAACTTGATTCTTAGACCAGCACTTTAAATTTTGAAAACAAGAAATCTTTGAGAAAATTAAGAGATATTTCTTTAAATTCAAGAGCATGGCTATTCATATAAAAAACATGTTTAAAAAAATCAAAGTATCTCAATATATCTTTCTTTTAAGTTTAGCTTTAACATTTTTTTGAGGATTTTCTTCATATTCAAAAATATCTTCAAATCATCTTCAAAGTTCATTGAGTTCAAACAATTTTGTCATGTCAAAACAAAAATAAAGCTAACACTTGAGTTCACTATCTATCAGGATTACGGTTCTACTATTAGTGGATGGATAGATATGAGATTAAGGTTTAAGTAATGCTCAAATTTAAACTTGGTTTTCATATGATTCTAGTTCAGATTATAGTGTCATTATTCGAAGTCAACTACTTCTATGATTTGAGACTTATTATTCCCTTGAAGTGAATTACATTCCTTCCATTGGAAGTAATCTACACAATACAGTTTTAACATAATAAAGTGAACAGTTTTATTATATGACTGTAAACAATTTTAGATTCGATTAAAATATATATCTCCAATGCATGACTCTTCATACAAATGTATTTTAATACTTCAATAAAATCTTGGTACTTTTTTAATTAAATAATAAATGTTTATTTAAAACAAACTCTTTGTCTTATTGTCAAAATATACTTTCATTACAAATAAAAAAGATGAAAATAAATATGAGAATATACTTGCTGTCTAAGGCACCATACTCTCAAATTCCCAATAACAATTTCGTTAGTGAATTTTTTCAATATTTAGAAAATTCTCTCAAAAAATACGGATTCCATTTCATCGATATTTACTTGACGAGTACATTCCTCAAAGGTTACATCTAGCCATCATTGATTGAAAACCATCAATATTTATAGATTCAGTTTGTCGGTATAAACCCTAAATCCTAACATTTTATATAGCTATTGCCAATGAAATTTCTATCGGTATATCTGTCAATATTTTGTATACCGACCGATTAACTCTGTTGATAGTCTTTACATCCATTGCTTTTATTGCACGCCAAATAAATACCACTGAATACCGACGGGACCGTTGTCATCGATGAATTTTGTTGATATTTTGTAGGTGCTTTGTCGAAAAATTACACGGCTACTATCCATCGGCATTTCGTTAGCAATCCATCACAATTGACATAATTTTGTTGATGGAGTCATTTCCATCAGTAATTGTTTGTTTCCTTATAGTTATAAGACTTCATTAGGAAATATAGATTCACCTAAATAGTTAATCCTACCTAAATAAAAAAGTTTGACGATGACACCTCATTTACGTCAAATGATTAAATTTTCAGACTCATACATTATGACAACAAAACTTAGAATTATACGTAATATGAACTTTTATACTATAATGCTTCCTTTAGGAGACTTTCTTCAACTTTCTTGCTCTTGTGTTTAGCCCTTTTTTTACCTAGCTTTGGCGAAGAAACGCTTTTCAACCAATCCAGTAATTATATATCAAAGCTTTAAAAAATAAAACACTTGACTCAATAGTAAACATATGTATATTTTATTCAAAAAATTAGATACACATGCTTTTTTTGTTTTCAAATAAAAAGACCTTTCATTTAGCTTAAAGCAATTTTGATTTTCTTAATATATATATATATATATACACACCTTTGAGAAGATTTTGCATTTCACATGCGAATGGTTGATTGAATGTCGATTATAAGAAAAAGATTTCAACTTTAGCTTACATGAAACTAGTCCATTTGATTACATGAACACATTATAAAAATAAACTGTTAACTATCCATACAAATATATGGATACTAATTTCATAGAAGTACACATTTTAGTAGTTTCGTGAAGAACTTGATTTCAAACCTTATACAAATATGAGTTCTTAATTTTCCTCATTCGGCCATTAGATGGAGTTTGAAAATAATCACATTACGTGGAAAATTAAAACATATAATTAACAAATTGGAAATGCACAACTTTATAACAAATTATGGTCCACTAAATATTTTCATTCAATCTAATATAATCATATATATATATATGTATATTGTATAAATTTATGTTTACGTATCTGTTTTTTTATAGGCCATCTCTTAGCGTTGTTCCCTAATTATACACAAATGTATGGACTCTTAATTTTGCACAACTTCTTCTCTTTTCCCGCCTATATTATATATTACAAATTTTACAACGAATTATTTATTGAGATTGGAAAACAATTCATTAATGACATTAATTAATAAAGTATTAGCGTCTACAAGATAAATATGTTCTATTACTTAATTTAATTACAACAAATTTGGTCCATGCATTTCACATTTTTGCTCCTGAATTTATTTATTTTTTCTTAAAAGCATATCAAACCTATCTTAGCCACAAAATAAACAAAATTTGAAGATTACTAATAAATTTGAAATCAATTAAAAATATCACAGGAAATTGAAAAAGACCCTTCCACAACGATGTGACATATAGCATACCATTCTTTATTCCATTCAAATGTAAGTCAACGGAAACAACATAAGATTACCCATTTGAAGATACATATAGCCGATGCTTGTCAGTATCTATAATTGCCTGTTAAGAAAAAGAGGAGGAAATTAAAAGAGGAATTAGCAGTAATTAATTTGTGTGTTTAGGAATGTAATACACTTGAAAAAGATCTTACAGTGTCTTTGGTTGCAAAGCTTTTCTTCGTTAATTTGCTTCTGAAAAGAAGACAAACTGTCTAATCCAAACTGCTGCTGGTTCTGATATGGCGTTTCCCATAACAAATTGCTTTTATCCTAATTAATTAAGAAAAATAAACTTTAGAAATTTATTTAATTAAAACACTTGGTTCACGCACTCTATATGAAAACCTTCAAATGTATACATAGTATTTTCTTTTGATGTTGAAAAGTTTAGTCAAATTATAAGAAAGTACTCGAGTGGTGATATTCAATCTCTGCTGCGCGTCGGTCTGATGAAGTAACGAGGAAGTTGCTGTGGGTGTTGCTGCACTCAACACTTTAAGCCGGCCCGTGGAGCTGGATTTTATAAAGGACGGAGGCAATGGTTTTTCGAAGCTAGAAAATTCCTGGAAAGTAGATTAGAATGGTCGATCCGTAGATAGAGTTACTACTTTCTTGCTGAAAAAGATCTTAGTAGCATTTCTTTTAAAAGACAAACAGTTAGGAAAGGTAAACCTCAGCTGCAGTGCTAATGAACTACAGATGGAAGGCATTTTACACATGCTACATGGAGAACAGTAATATAAATGATATGATTAACTTGATATAATAATGGCTTTTCTAATGATTACTCATGGGAACTGGGACACCTTTGTTTTTTAATTTATATTACACATGCTACATAATTATAATTATTTAAATGGGTATGCATATAATAAATTTCTTCAATGATGCGTTTCTATTTTTTTTATTATACTTTTCAATTTTAATTTTTATTTTCATCATTTTCACCAAATTCACTTGAGAAACTCTACTTAAATTTAACTTACAAGGAAAACTCTCTATGACAAATTCGGTGGAGGACAGATGATAGGTTTTCTAGAAAGCTTTACCTCTGACGCGAATGTGTTAGTAATTAAGCCTACTCCAAATTCGCCCAACATGGAATCAATAGGAGCAAATTTTGCTGCAAAAAACTGAGGACATATATAATTGTCGACTGTTAAATTATATAGTTAAAAATGAGCAGTAAGAGTAATAGCAGAAGCTGTGACTTGGAGAGTAACCTCTACTTGATACTGTAAGCATTGAACATATCTAATGATTTCATCCAGTATCTGGGTCTTGCCAGTCAGCTATGAGCATTACAAAATTTAAGAAATAATGGTAAGCGCTTAGCAACATTCAAATTAAGAAAATGAAATATGGTATCCAGGAAACGGGAAAAAAACAAATTTCAATTGGTACGCCTTTTCAAGTATTGATTTCAATGAATCCTCTTGAACATATCGATTAACTTTGTACGTTTCAAGAAAAGTATGCAAGGAATTAAGAATGGCACCTTGTCACATCAAGGAACAAGTGATTGCAATAGCTTCATCCTGACGCTGATTTTCTCCCTTCTGACCTGGAAAACCCATTTCATAGCTAAGATATTTATTGAATGCAAATGGATTGGATTTCCCATTTCTGGCATGTTAAATTTTCAGGTTTTTTCCCCTTTTGCAATTAGCCGTGAGGTAGGTTTTCCGGTAGAAGTGCTAATGTGGTTGGATATCATACCCTCTCGGCAAGGCTGTGCTTGTCTTTTGCTTCACCTCTCCCCGCTCTGACATGAACATAATTATCTGTTTCGACCTTCTCAGGAACTTTCTTCTTGTTCTTTATATCAGGCTTCAGCCTGCTTTCCTTTGCTTGCTCCAAGCCACGAATATTTTTTCCTTTTTTCTCTCTTTCTACCTGGTCATCAAAGAAGCGAAGTACATGACAAATACTGGGTAATAATTTTTTTTCCTGTATGCAAGGATTAATTTAATTTCCTTTCAAGAATATTACTCCATATATAATTAAATGAATATATTCAACAGAATAATCGCCTAATATACCTTTGTTTCCACTTTCTTTCTCTTGTTCTCCGACGCCGACCCTTCTCCTGTAAGTTGATGATCATCGCCTCGTTGTTCAAGTTCCAACGGCGTGCGTATGGCGGTAGACTCCAAGTCCTGATTTGCAATAGCAAAAGGGTTAACAGGGAATGTGAAAGGGACATCTAGATTCACTTCATTAAGAGTTATGGCTTCATGGTTTTGAGCATATTGCCCGGGAATAAATTCCTGGAAGCATGCATCCGGAAAGTTTGAAGAAAAGCAGGTTTTGGTGGCGCTGCTTTCTTCCCTGAGGAAGCTAGACATGGAATCCAAGGTGTTTGGCTCGATAAAAGAGTTTAGAACAGAAGGAAGATGCTAGTTTGGAAAAGCCGACATTTGATGAATCCTCGTAATTACAATTTAACTGTGAGAGAATTGCAGCTATGGGGGAGCCTGAATCGATTCCTCCTTGATGCAGAAGTGGCTGTCAGGAGGATCGCAGATGTTGGGACAAGCTAGAAAAGCAATATAAATACCAACTAAACAGTGTGAGTACAGATGGAGATCGGGCGTGGGATGGAGTCAAAATTTCGCATTTAGGAGGCGACATTAGAAGTTGAATGCTTGATAAATATATAAAGTAATTTAAATGAAAAAAACTTTATATAAAAATTATATAAATAAATTCAACTACATATTAAGTATGAAATAAAAATATTTTTTAACAACTATTGCATGTTGAAGTTGGATATTTTAATTGAACTAGACAAGTTTGTCATAAAGTTGAAAGAATCCATGCTGAATCTCCAATGATTTCTTTCTCAATAAGAATTATTAATAAATTTTTTTAAAAATTATTTGACATTTTATTACGAGTTTTATTCTAACAAGTTTCATAATAGACAATGCACATTTTGATGTTGCAGTGAAAATTAGAAGAGTTAAAGACAAATCAAATTAATTTGTCACCAGGAAGTAAATTTTTTATATTTCCAAATTCTTTAATACTTGCCATAGCTGAGAAAGTGTAAATACATTTTTGAAAAGATTATGAAGAATGTCAAATTTAAATAGATTCAATTGATAGATTAGATGCATTTTATCATGTTCAATCTAATCATGAGAGTAATATTTATTTACAAGGTTGTAAATATTTTCAAGATTAAAGGTTTTGAAATCATTCCGACAATCCAAAGATGTGTCAAGAGTGAACAACTTTACCACATTGTCACTAAATCTGAAATTCAATTTTTATAAGAGTGAGACAATAATAGTTAAAAACAAATCAACTTGACAATAGCGTTCAATTGTAACATGTTATAAAATTATTGTAGGGATAAAATTATAAAATTTGAAAAATTAAAAATATGTTACAAAAACTTTTAAAATTTTTATTAAGATAAAATTATAAATTTTTTTTAAAAAAATAAAAATATGTTATAAAAATTATAAAATTTTTTAAAAATAAAAATATATTTTAAAAATGAAAAAATTGTGAGAAATGACTTTTGTCATAAGGTCACTTCAAAAATGACATTCAATATAATTTTAACTGTTTTTAAACAATTTTTGACACGAGTTCACAAGAATACCTTTTAAACCATTTAATCCCAATTAAGTGGTCTGAGTTTCTTTCTCCTCTCCTATCATTCAGATTAAAACTCCAAAATTAAATCTCGATTTAGCTATCAATCTATCCAGATCTCCAACGTCATCGAGGTATATATCTCACCGTCTAGCTTTCCAATGCCATCAAGGTCTATATCGCCATTCAACTTTCTTACGATCCCAAAGTGCAGAGATGACACCAAGGTATTTGTTATGGATTTTTAGGTTTATTTTATTTTTTTATATTCATAGAACGCAAAAGTTGATTGGTAAATTATATCAGTTTGGAAACTTAAATCTGGCTGGAAATAGCAAAATCATTTGATTTATAGGCGATGCGTGAATATTTGGTAGGCATTGCGTCAGCTATTTATTTGGATAATGGGGTATGTGATGAGATATTAGGAATTGTAACTTGTTTATTTGGTATTACGTGACTGAATATTATGTGACTGAATATTTTTTTAGCATTGCGTGACCTGTTTGTAGGTATTGCGTGACTTTATCTCCCTAATGCTAAAGGTGATTATGTACTTATTCAGCCCCTTTACTAACAAATTTTGTAAAGTTAGAAGAGAATTAGGAATACTTAATAACCAATTCAGCCCTTTTAATAACAAATTATGTAAAATTATAAGAGAATTAAGAATACTTAATAAACAATTCAACCCCCTTTATAACAAATTCTGTAAAATTATTAGAGAATTGGAAATGCTTAACAACCAATTCAGCCCCTTTAATTGCACTGAACCAATTCAGCCCCCTTAATTGCACTTAACCAATTCAACCCCCTTAATTGCACTTATATCGACATTCAAAAAAAAAAAGAATTGCACTTATATTGTGTGTAGAAAATGAAAAGTCAGCATTCTTACCTATAAATAAAGGAAACCATTAACCATTTTAATCAAAATAATCTAAAGCAAAATCTGAAAATGGCATCTAAAGGTTCAAGAGACGATAGCGGGAAAGGGGTGGCCACTAGAGGGGCTACCCCCCAAATGCGTGCTTTGATGGACTGACTTAAGCAGATGGAGTTAGAGATGCGCGCCCTGGTGGATAACATGGTGGTCAGGACAGAAGTCCTAAAGACAAAAATCCTAGCCAATAACAAGATTCTGGCCGAAATTTATGAATTAGTAGATAGAATTAGGAAGAAATGAACTACGGTTCATTTCTTTTTTATATCATCTCCTTTAAGTTCAGCCAATGAATAAAACAAAATTTTTCATTAATCTCATATTTTCTTGCTTTATTTTATATTATGCTGAATAACTTGCTTTATTTTCTATTTCAATTTATATAAGAGAAGAAACCGTGAGTGCATGTTAAGCATTGCGTGACCTATTTTTAGGTATTGCAAGATTGGATTATAGGCGCTGCATGAATTGTGCAATGCATATTTTCTGTTGAGACATTGCGTGAGTGGTTTTTATGTATATGGTTACTTGTTGTTATGTATTGCGTGACGTTAGGACAGTACGTGACTGGTTATGTTGGCATAACGTGACTGAATATTAGGCATCGAGTGACTTATTATTAGATATTACGAGACTGGAAGGGCGTGACTTGTGTAATTTATCTCTTGTTTTGAGGCTTTTGTTTAGTAGTTTATGGGCATTACGTGACCTATTGTTATGTATTACGTGACATTGGGCCGTTACGTAACCTGTTATGTTGGCATAATGTGAAGAATTCTTTTTTGAGTTCTTTTTTTAAATGGGCTCCATGCATAAGGCGTTTTTGAGAATAAGCCTCTCCATATTACGCATTGAGAGAGTTATTATTAGGTATTACGAGATTGGAGGTGCGTGACTTGTGCAATTCATCCCTTGTTTTGAGGTTTTTTTTCACTAGTTTGTAGACATTGAGTGACTAATTTTTATGTATTGCGTAACCTGTTGTTATGTTTTGCGTGACATTGGGCCGTTACATGATTGGTTATGTTGGCATAATGTGAGTGGATATTACACATTGAGTGACTTATTATTAGGTATTGCAAGACTAGCAGTGCATGATTTGTGCAATTCATCTCTTGTTTTGAGGTTTTTGTTCACTAGTTTTTAGGCACTGCGTGACTGATTTTTATGTATTGCGTGATCTGTTGTTATTTTTGCATGACATTGGCCGTTATGTGACTGGTTATGTTGGCATAATATGAGTGGATATTACGCATTGGGTGACTCATTATTAGGTATTGCGAGACTGGCGGTGCGTGACTTGCAATTCATCTCTTATTTTGAGGTTTTTGTTCAGTAGTTTTTGAGCACTGCATGAATGTGTATTAGAAGTTATGACACTTATTTTCTGTTAAATTTCAACGGCCTGTGAAATATGACTTAGGCATTGCGTTAGTGGTTTTTATGCATTGAAGGGCAATTTTTGATAAATTGACTAATTGTGACACATATTTTTTATTAAATTTCAGCAGCTTGCCAAATGTGAAGCTTATGATTACATACGGTGGTCATTAGGTCGATGACACTTACAAGGGTGGTGAGACATGAGTGAGGGGTGTTGGAAGTGAGTTGCCATTTTCGGGCCTAGTGAACTTAGTTGAAGAGGTTGTTAGGGTCAACTCACATAATAATGAAATTGAGCTACATATATTGCTCAGTGATGTAGCGGGGATTTTGCACGCAGCTATCAGGGATGATGAAGATGTAGCAAGTATTTTGCGAGATGAGAGGGTAGTTGTTATGTTTGTGACAGTTAAGGCAGGAAATGCAAACAATATTCCACATGAACATGGTATCCAACATAATAATCACCTACAACAGAATGTTAATTATTCTAACATACCACACCATGCATTTCCGAACCAACAACCATGGCAATCACATTTGACACATCCTCATGAGTTTGAGTAGCCAGGCACACACATGAGGTGTCTACAAATGATGTCTGCATAATTTTAATCTGAATGTGCATCGAACGAAATACTTGGTACTTTGCAACAAACGCAACTGTCACCCAAAAATGCATTAGGTCCATTATCATTTGCAGAGGACATTGTGATGGTTGTGAGTGATAAGGATGCATCTGATCAGATTGAAAATGATGTTGAAGAGGATGACATGACGGATTGGAACGATGAGTTGCATGATGACTGTGAAGATGATTACGTTGGCGGACATGACGATGGTTCAGAGGATGACAGGGGTGAGCACATCGACATTCAGGATTGCAAACATGTAGATGGCAGTACAGGACATGCGCACAATTGTTGTGTTAGAAGAGGTTCAGTTCGACGACCATGCCTCAATTATTGAATTAGAAGATGTGGAGGGTGCCAACCCTATTTACGACAACGTCATCGCACTTGAGAACGACATTCGTTCGCTTGATGACAGTGATAAAGAGAAGGTAAATGCATGGGTATCTCGTCAATGGATTATTCTCGGGGTAGATATGATATCCTTCAAAATAGTTACGAGTGAGGAATCTAGATCAATGGGTGACCACTTATATCGTGAAAAAATGTTTCCATCGAAGGCTGAATTGAACTAGCTTTGAATATGTTGGCACTAAAAGAACATTTTGAGGTCAAAGTTAAAAAGTCATGTCACGTTCTTTTTTAGGTTGGTTGTAAGGAGAAGGTATGCAAGTTTGCTTTGTCTGCAACGAAGTTGCTTGAGGGAGAATATTGCCAACTTCAGACGGTGTAGAAAGTACACATGTGTACTATTGATGGTTTGCAATATGGGTACTGAACTACGAGCATGAGGTTAATTGCTGAGTCTATCTCCACCAGGCTGCAAGGAAATTATGTAACCCTATTGAGACTGAAGGAAATAAGGGAAGAGATGAATCGTAAGTGGGGATTGCAATGCCTATATGGTAAGGCGTGGCAAGCGAAGGAATATGTGGAGAGTCT